ACAAAGTGGCTCATCTCAAGGCAGATGGGAAGAGCAGAGAAAAGGAGAGAGCAAGGGGCCAAGGACTGTTACAGGCATATCTCCAGTAAGCCATTTTTTTTTCCAAGTAGGTCTTCCTCTGAAAAGTTTCCACAGCTTCCCAGCAGCACTACTAGCTGGAGATTGTACCTTAAGCACATGAGCCTATAGAAGAAAGTACAGATCTATTCTACAATATTTTCTCAAACTTTTTATGTAAAATCTTTGAAAATTTTGTTCGGGCTGTGTGTATGTATGTGTGTGTATGCATGTGTACATGTAGGGGTCACTCATTATTAAGCTACATCTCCAGCCCTCTTTTTTTTTTTTCTTTAGATTTTTAAATATTTCAGACAGTCTTGCTAAATTGCCTAATCTGCCTTCAAACTTGTGATTTTATATATCAGCCTCTCCTGAGTAGTTGGAATTATAGGCATGCACCACTACAGCTGACCAAAGAGGTTAAAAAGAAAAAAACTCCAATAAAAAGTACAAGTATTTTCAACTGCTATCTTATGTTCATATTAGATTTTTGTGTAGAAAGATAATAGTCATGTTTGTCATGAATCTTAAGACTTAAATGTTGTATATCTTAGTATGAGAGAATAAAAACCAGCCAGTTATAGACTGCTAACAATTGGGAATTCTGATATATAGTATTAACTTGGTGGTTGGTAAAGCAGAAAAGCAACTGATCTGTAGGATATGGTATTTTAAAATGCTTCCTTTTCATAATAAGAATACTGGGACTGACCAGGCTGCCAAGAACAGATGATTAACAAAGGAATTTATCCCCCATTCCCCAATCAGTGATTTCTCATTTGGTTTAATTGAGGATTTCAGAAGCTAAGGAAGGAGGAGGAAGGGTTATTGACTATTACTTACTATGGAGGAACAGTGAAGAAAATTTTATAGACAAACATCTCTCATAAGATATTGTTTGCCCCTCTTATCTTTCCCTTGACTTTGATCTTTTCCTTAGACTATACTTACCAATAGCTAATTATCAGCTATTGATAAGGTAAAGAATTATCTAAAGTCTATAAAGCAGAGTTAAGAAACTTAAAGTGTTGCTAAGAGCAGGTAATTTGTTTGCATGTTTCTTATTTTACTCACATACTACTTCTTTTAAACTGTTAGAGAACTGCTTTCTAAAACATACCTGATTTCGTCAGTTCTTAATAAGCTTTCCTAAAATTTCTTTCACTGCAGAATGAAGCATAAATTCTTAGGTGTGGTATATAAAACAATAAATAAGGGGGTGTGATGGTGCATACCTGTAATTTTATGCATTCAGGAGGCCAAGGCAGGAGCATAACAAGTTCCGGCCAGCCTGGAATAGGTTATAGTATAGTGATAGCACATCCCTGGATTCAGTTTCCTGTACTACACACACATGCACACCCCCCAAGAAAAATGAAACTTTAGAACAAACAGTAAATGTCTTGTAACTGTTTTCAGATCTCAACTTTGCCTCTGAAGCTTAACTCTGTCATGGTTTTATGCCTCTATGTACACGTTTTTGTATACCACAGTACATCTGCTGTCTCTTTCTAACTTTTCAGTGTGTGGTGTTGGGGATTAAATTCTGTATTTTCAATAGGCACACTGATTTTCCTTCAAAAATAGGCTTAAATATTTGCCTTCCATGTGAAGTGCGTTTGTGTCTACTCTTTTGCTAACTTGACTATATGTGAAGATATCCCAAGGAGTTATGTTTTGCTTACATGTCTGTGTTACTGCCTAGACCAGTGATGGTAAATGTTTTAGAGCTTTCAGTGATAACAGCCAGCCTGCTATGGCACACATGCCATAGGTTTGCCACTACTAGCGTAAACTGTATCTATTTTGAAGGAAAGGTGGGTTTGTGTGTCATCGTATTCTGAATTAGAACAGTTCTGAATGCAAAAAATAGGTATATAGATGTTTGATCAAAAATATTTTTAAGAGATAAATAGTATTTTAGATAATTTGGAAATCAGCTAATACTGTCATCTCACATGAGGTAAATATATGAGGTAATATTGTAGTTTACAGTCTATACAATGAGACCTTTGTATAGTAATCCTTTGCCTCACCATCATGCTTTCTGTTGCTGCCACCATTTTTCGAATGTTATTTTGTGTTTTGCTTAAATGGAATTTTAAATGGTACTATATCTTAGATTTCTTCATGCGGTGAAACAGATTTTAGTTTTGGGTTAGTTTTTTTCACATTGGCAGATGGGAGGTTTTTTTTTTCATAAATAGAAAGTAATTTATTATTTATTATACTTCTCACCATATCATGGGATTTTCAGAGAAAGTAATTTTATTTTATTTTGGAGTATAAAAGCAATCAAGAAAGACATGGGCTGGTGAGATGGCTCAGTGGTCTAAAGCACCTACTTAGAACAAGCTTAGCAAAGCACAGGGACCGCGGTTCAATCCCCCAGCACCACATGCCAGCCAGCCCCGCCCCCTGGTGGGCTGAGCTGGCCACACACACACACACACATAAATAAATAAAAAATTAAAAAAAAAAGACAGAAACAGAGTAACATGCAACAATACATATGTTACAGATTTTCAAAACAAGAATAGCTGATTAATAATGATTGATATATTATCTATTTTTATTGTCAAATCTGTTGCTCAGGTTAACAGATACAGTTAAGCAAGATTGGACATATGATTGGATATTACCACATTCTTTCAAGAAATCTTATGTGCAGCTATGTTTATAGCAGCACGATTTGTCATAGCCAAATCTTGGAAACAACCGTGCCCATCACCTGGGGAATGGTTGAAAATGATGTGGTATTTTTATACAATGAAGTATTATTCAGCCATAAAGAAAGATTGGAGTTTTTATTGAAAAAAACATAAGACACATGTTTGAAGATCTCTGCTTAGAGATTTTAGGCTGGTTATAGGTTTTTGGCATGTGGGAGAGGGAGAGGAGTAAAGAATTCCTCTTTGGAAACATACAAAGCATAATTATATAGTGAGAACTATTGGGGAGGGAGGATGACAACATTGGCTGTGTTCAAAATTTCCGCTTGTTCCTTAATGCACTGCTTCATAGAGAATAAATTTTCTCAATTTAATGTCTGGGTCAGAGTTGGTCTGAATTTGTAGAGTCCAAACTATAGAAAACAATTTTCTTGCATTCAGCTATGACTGGGTTTTAAATATCTTTAAGTCCCCTTTTGGCATGTTGTGATTTTAAATAAATATCTTCTATTGTGTTGAAGTTTTGTTGTAGAGTTAGCATACACTTCAGCTCAGGAACTTTCTGAGGCATAAATTTTAAATTAATGAATACTTTTAAGGTTGTTACTCTTACTGTGTCAAAGCCTCTACAATTACCAAGCTAAATACAGAGATGTAGGAGTTTAATCTTACCATCTGTCAAAAGGGATCATATTAAAAGAAACAATTTTCTTTAAAATTATTTCATTTAAGATATGAAATTGTTCTTTCTGATCTGGACATTGAGGATAATGGACTGGTCTAAGATTGCATAAAAGTGGAACTATGTTAGCATCCTAAACTACTGTTAAAAGTATTGGGTAGGTAGGCAGTGTAGCTCCTTTTGTTTATACATGTTTAATTATGTTAGGTTTGAAATCAAAGACAGTGTGGCAGGGGTTCACTTGTGGAGAGGAGAATCTAATTTGCATAGAATGATTTCTCCATGGGCTTCATTTGCAAGTTATTATAACTTAGACATCAGATGTTTTCTTCAGGGTAATTCTGTCTGTGGTAGAATGTTCTTTTTTTTTTTAAATATTTATTTATTTTTTTTTTTTAAATTTTTTGTGTGTGTGTGTGTGTGTGTGTGTGTGTGTGTGGCCAGCTCAGCCCACCAGGGGGCGGGGCTGGCAGGCATGTGGTGCTGGAGGATTGAACCGCGGTCCCTGTGCTTTGCCAAGCTTGTTTCAAGTAGGTGCTTTAGACCACTGAGCCATCTCTCCAGCCCTAGAATGTTCTTTTAAATTTTGTCTGGTGTAGCATTATTTTTTGAAGAAAATTTTAACTGGACTGAGTAAACATAGACTTTCTTATATCAGGTTTTTAATAGGTAGCTTTTTAGTATATTCTCTGAAAGGGGAAAAATTTATATGTAAATGTTAATTCCCTGTAAGATGCAATTTGGTGCGAAGTTGGTATAATTAGAAGATGATAGAAACAATCTTCATGTAATTGTCACATATATAAGCCCTGCTAACCATGCTAAGATAGTTTACTTTGTTATGTTAATTAGCCAATGAACTTACGATTTCTGGGGCAATTTATTCACTATCAGTCTGTTTAAATCACTGAGATGATTTAAAAGACCAAAGGAACTTGTGTTATTTTCCTTTTTTTAGTCTGAAATTTTCTTTCTTCCTTTTTTTTTTTTTTTTTAATACCTTAAGATAAATGACCAGTTAAGATGGAGTGAGTGTCCTTATACTCTGGTCTTCTATACATGGAATTAAAACAATTTTGAAAAGAGACATTCTTTATCAATAAGCTGCTTCTTTTAACTGGGCTGTATTTCAGTAAGAAATGAGGTAGCAAGATAAGTTGCTGAAAAAGATGAAGTTTGGAGATTTTTATCTGTTTTTTTGTGCCCTTAAAGCTATTTCTTCATATTACAGTAAGAATAGGTAAGTTCTAGTGGAAAAAAAAATTGCAAAGCATTTACTTTGCTAATAAATTTAATTTCTATTCCCTAAATAAAGTCTTATAAGATCAGATTATATTTCTATAAAACACCTGTTGCTTTATATAAGATTGTCCAGCCTTATTAATACTGTGGTTATTTTAGAAGTGTGGGGTAGGGTTGGGGTGGGATTTGGTGGGTGTGGTGTGATGAGTACATTAGAAGGGAGTGTTAGAAATTTTGCTTGTTTTCTGTCCCACCATTTCTGATACCTTCTGTATATTAGTTATTAGTTTAGATTAGTGTGGGGGATGTTAGGAGTGGCTGGTTTCTTTCCTTCTCTTTCCTAGCCAAGGAAGTATCGCCTGGGGATGCTGGAGGAGAGGCTAGTTCCGGTGGGATCAAAGGCACGAAAAACAAAGACCCATATTGGCTGCCTTGCTGACAGGTGTAAATCAGGAGTACCCATCAATATGGTTTGGTGGAACAGAGTCACAGAAAACAATTTACAGGTAAAAATAATTTTTATTAGACATACTTTCTGTGTCTGTGGGGCTGGTGGGTATATTGGATGGTATAGGTGATTTTAAAGCAAAAAGAGGTTAGTGGCCCATTAACCAAATGATTATCATTGAATGACTTTTTTGAGCATTTCCTATTTAGAACTTGTTTACCTATTCTTTTTCTTGTTCAATGTTGTTAACATTTAAGTTCATTTACTTTTAATATATGTCATAAAATTTACCACAGAAAGTTTCACTTACTTAGTATTGAACAACAGGAAACTGCTTCATATTTTGGGGGTGCATTTTTAGTAGGAAATAAAGTTGCATGTATGCACACTTGTCTAGGGACTGACTTTAGCAGTATGTTGTTAAACGGTTGTTACAGATACATTTTAGTCTTTGACTCTTTCATCTTTATGTATCCATACTGAATAATGAAAATGAATTTTTATAATTCACAGACTAGCTTTTATGTAAAACTTTTGACATATTCACAAAATAATTTATATTCCATTTTTATTTGAATTACTTTAATCCATTTAAAAACTTGATAATTATGTAATACGGCTATTTCTGTTAACAGAATTTCAGTTTTGCCAAAGGTAGCATACTTTTCCTCCTAAACTGAGTGGTTTGCTATTTAAAATAAATTCCTAATCAAAATTTACAATCCCAAATATATGTCTCATACACAGAAAATGTGTAAAAAAGCTAATGACTTGGTTTTTATTTGTCTCTAACTTTATAGTCGTTCTAAAGAGGTTCCACATTTTGTTTAGTTTAATATTACTGTAGTAGATATGTTTGTGTTGCCTTAGGCATAGAGATAACAAAATGTATTCTAAAAATAGTTCAAAATGTGGTGTTTGCCATATCTAAAATTTGGAAATGATTTCCTAAAGACAGGAAAAACTAAAACAGTCCCACATAGTCATGCATCTACAGTATTTAAAATTTCATTGGAAAAATAAAATTTTTCATTGGAAAATTTTGATGTGTTAATTGTGAATGTTAACTGAATGTTTCTTGTCTTTGAAATTGGAAAAAGATTTGGTATAGGTTAATGTCACTATTTTACAGTTTTTAAAAAGTCTGAAAATGAATTGGGCCCAAACTATGAAAAATAGATAAAAGTGAACCTAGCTTATAGAGAAGAATACTGATCAATGCAGAGCTTTTAACTGTTGGATATCTCTATTACTGCCCTCCATCCAGCTGGCAGTTCTGAGGGGATTTTTTTTTTTTTTTTAAGTATAGTTTAGAAGATTGGGTTAGTATAAGACTGTACACTTGAATGATTTTTAAATTAAAACAGCTAGTAAAGGATTTATATTAAATTGGTATCATCTGAACCTCGTATAGTATATACTTGTAATACTGTTGTTTTATGCTTCAAATAGTTCTTTTCCTATAAAGACATAAGAAGTGTTAAATTTTGAATTTAGATGTTTACAAACTCAGAAATGTCTTACATTATGACTCACATGTTGAAGTATTGAACAACACCTCTCTAGTCTCTTATTGTCATTGTGGATTCCCTAAATTCATGATCTGGGAGTAGTTTATTCAAAGCTGAGTATGTCAGTATACTATGTCTTATGTTATTGGAATTTGTAATCTTTCTGTTGTTACTGAAGTAAAATAAATTTTATAAAGTAGATACACACGGATTTTCTTGACCTTGTTTGATGATTACCCTTTAATATTGTTTTATATTTATAAATATTTATATTTTATTTTAATGATTATAGCTATGTTTCTTAAATGGTCATCTTGTGCCAGACATTGTGCTAAGCTCTGTGTATATATTGTTTTGATCTTCATAATAACTTATGGCATAAATGTTACTGAAAAATGAACTCCTTTAGGGAAGCTAATATTAAGGATTTATAGTCAGTGGAGGAACACAAATTTGAACCTGTTTGGCAGACTCAAAAGTTTCTTCATTTCTTTGTTGCAGCCCCTCTTGCACTAAAACTATGCTTGATTTGGTTGTACTATACTTGGTTTGAACTTTGGTAGTGCAACCTTTTTTTTGTTGTCATTTTTGAGGCATAGTTTCACTATGCAGTACAGGCTGACCTTGAACTCACTTTGTAGCCCAGGCTGGCCTCAAATTTATAGGAATTTTCCTGCCCCAACCTCCTCAGTGCTGGGATTATAGACACGCGTTGCCACACCCAGCCTGTGCAACTTATTTTGAGAATAAGAATGTTTATATAGTTTTCTACTCATGAGCAATAATGTAGTAATGACTGGGCATCAGTACTGTTACCCTGTGATTATCATTTTCTGAGCGATCTTTGTTTTTATTTATTTATTTATTTATTTATTTATTTTTTGGTACTTTAAATATTTCTTTACATTCATTTCTTAATCCTGATGGCCTATTCCAGCTTTTGAAAACAAAAGAAAACCATTTAATCAATAAAAACTTAGATCTCTGTGTGAGTTTTAAAACTCAGCGATGCAAGATAATCATTCATACTGTATTTATTCTCTTCAGTGCCAGATTTCTCTAAAGAAGCCTATGATTTCCAAACTTGTATTACTCAGTAATCTACTTTTTATTAAAAAAAAAATCCTTATATAAAAGAGCTTGCCTGTCAAACATGATATTTATAAAATAGTGATACATTGTTTTCATTTTCTAATTTATATGTTTGGAATTCCTAGGGAATTGAAGAAACACATTCTGTGGTCTTTCAAAGCTTTGTAGAGGGTGATTTTTTCTTTATGTAGCTATGTTGAATGCTGATAAAACTGTGGTTCCTACTACTCCGTAAACCTTCCAAATAGGGGACCCAAGGAGTATCTTCTGTTCTTTCTCTTACTTCTTTATTTTGTATTTATTTAAATATCAGATTTGGTGTCACCAAAATTTTGCTGAACCTGCCATCAGATTTGCAGGAGTGTTAAAATGGACAAATATTGCCCATTAACACTACTCACTACCCTTTTACTTTTGAAACTCTTTCCTTTTTGCACTCTTAACTTTTTTTTTTTTTTAATCTGGCTCTTTATCCTCCCTGTTTGTTTCTTTTTAATGTATTTAGTACTGGGTCTCACTATGCAGCTCAGACTGGTAGTGATCTTTCTGTTTCAGCCTCCCTAGTACTGGGATTACAGATGTGTGACTACCACCACACCTGGTCTCAGTGGCCCGCTTTTTGTACCTAGGCTGGGGCCGGTACAGCATGTAGTACTGGGGTGAACCTGGGTCTTCACTTGCCTAAGCAGGTGCTTAGACTGCTGAGCTACTTCTGTGGACCTCCTTTTCATTTCTTGATTGTTTGTTCTTTACTTTTTCTTGTGTTACTACTCCTTGAAATTTTATTTTTTAGAGTTGTCTTTTGAGTTCAAGACCCAGATTTTTCATACTTTGTATTATCTGTGGATGTAGATCTGTGTTCTATCACAGCAAATCTAAACCTTATTTTTCTGTTCTCCAAATCTACCTCTCTTATATTCTACTTTTTCAGTTAATGTCATTGGCATGGGCATTAGCATTGTCTTACACAGTATGGCTAAATATCTGACTTCTTCGCTGGTCTCTCCTAATTTCTACCAATTTTTATGACAAAGGTACTAAATTTTGTCTACTTGTTAATTGAAAGTTAAAACTTTGGATAATACACATTTGCTTGTATATGAAGTTTTCAATAATGCATATTACCTTCATTTGATAAATATGGACGTTGTATTATAGAAAAGTCTAATGCTACTAATTGGTAGAGTTGGTATTCTAAGATCTTTTTAATTTTAAATCCTGAGGTTTTCCTGCCATACTGTTTGCTTTCAATCTCTGTTCTTTAAAAAAAAAAAATCTGTAGTTTCCTCTTTTTTTTTTTTTTTTTTAAATCACTGTTGACCTGGTTTGTGTCTTACATGTAAACATCTTCTAAATATTTTGTTCAGTCGCTTCAGGCTCTGTCCTACCCTTTGTTTCTGGAGTTGTACTGTATCTCCCCATCTGGCAACATATTCTGCATTCTAACATATGGAATTTTTCCTATAGCATTTAATATGAAATGTATTGTCAGTTCCCTCTGCGTTTGTTACCTCTACATCATTGTTAACTGAGCCTGGAAAAAAATATCCCCTCCTGTAAGGAGATTGCTAAATGCTACCTTCTCTGTAAATATTTGTTCAAAATCTGGGAGAAACATGCATATATACTGTTTCTACAATATTTGATATTTAACAGTCAATTTCATTTTGTTTTGTGGTTTTTTTTGCTTGTCTTTTTCCACTGGATTTGTAAATATTTGAGAGTAGGCTTATGTTTATTAAGATATATTGTTAATATATTCAGATGTTAAGATGTTTTGATTGTTTATTCCATAATATGTATATTTTTGTGGCAACTTTTTTGAGACTTGCATTTCATCCTAAGTATATCATTTTTTTTCAGTAATTTTATTTTCATTAGTATGTTTGTAATATGTAATTACTATTTTATTTTTTTATATTTTAGAAATGGAAAACTGGGGAGATAGTTCAGTGGCATGAAGTTCTGAGTTTGATCTCTGGTACAAAAAAAAAAAAGTTCTATGGAGGTTATAGCCACCATATTACCACTATATATTAGTGTTAGTATCAAAAATGTTTTAGAACACAGCGGTTCTTCCTTTCTTTTTTGCAGGCCTGGAACCTGAACCTAGGGACCTTTACCACTGAACTATATCCCCATCCACTCCTTTATATTTTTAGTTAATTAATTAATTTTTATTTTGAGGTAGGGTCTAACTAAATTTCCCAGGTGGGAATTAAACTTACCAATCATCCTGCCTCAGCCACCTTTGCTGCTAGAATCACAGATGTGTGCCACTGTAACCTGCATAAGATGCTTATTTCTTTTTTTTTTTTTTTTTCTTTTTATAAATTTAGAACAGGGTATAGAGGGTGTATGGGGTCTCACTATGTAGATTGGACTCTTCTTTTCAGCCTCCCAAGCAGTAGGATTACACACACATGCCACCACACCCAGTCTCAATTGCCATTTC